AGAGAAGAAAGAAGGGAAGAAAATGTAATTCATTTTCACGTCTTTAAGGCTTTCAAAACAAACACAAATACATTTTTCACAGGCAGGTTTATGTAGATCATTCCACCCAAGTGGATGTTACTTTCCTTCTCCCACCATCCTTTTCCTTTGACATAGTCAAATAAATTTATTAGAGGGAGTATACATCGCCACTACTCTGAAAAAAAGAGGCACACAAACTGGTGTGTACCACCTCTTTAAAATGCATCACTTGTGGGAACCAGCAGGTGGCATGGTGGTCAAGGCACTGGACACTCCCACATGGCTGACCCCAGTTGAAGTCTCAGACCTGGCAGCTTCTTTCTCTCTCTCTCTCTCTCTCCCCTCTCTCTGGTCAAATTAAAATAACTGAATGAATAGATTTAAAAATTTTTTAAAATAATGCATCACTTGTATTACAGGCTTACTCTCCCCTTTTTTTACTCTCGTATTTTGCCAGAGGATGAGTGTGCTTGCCAGAGAGAGACAGAGAGCAAGCGAGAAAGCACCCTCCAATGGGGTATGGTCATGCCACAATCCCTTCTTCATTTATCCATCCTGTCAGGGTTTCGACCATATGAGTACCTGTGTCTAGCGTGCTTTTCAAGCCATCGGGGCCAGTATTCCAACTGCACAGTGGATATGTGGAATCTGGCTCCTTTAACCACCAGGCCTGGTGGACCTCTATTCTTCCTTTTGAGATCAGGAAGAAACTTTGAATATGTTCTTGGGGGATAGGGGTTGGGTAGAATCTCCTTTCAATATACAGGCTTCCAGCAAACGGGCATTGTCACAATGGGAATGTTGAGACTGAGACCAGGCAGTGCAGTGTCTGCAGGTAGTGTGTGCATGTGTGTGTATGTATATGTGTGAGTGTGAGTGTGTGTGTGTGTGTGTGTGTGTGTGTGTGTGTGTGTGTTTCATGGCAGAGGCCCTCGAGCTATGGATGGATTCTGGGTCCTGTTCCCAGGTATGCAGAGAAGTCACCTTTCTATATATAAAGTTGGAAAATTTCAACATGCTGTCAACATATTTTAGATAAGAAAGAGATCGCATAGACAGCTCAATTTTTCTTTTCCTTTTTTTTCTTTTTTGTGAGTTTTTTTTTTTTTAAGAGGTTTTTGCCTCAAGACACATACACTTGCATGAGAGAGAGAGAGACAGAGAACTGAGAGGGAAGGTAAGAAATGACACCCCAGGAAGGATGGCCATGCTGCAATCCTTTCTCCATTCTCCTGGGATCTTTTTTTTTTTTTTTGGGAGAGAGAGGTTTTTCCTATAGGGCGCG